GCTGATGTCTTAATAATTAAAAGGGATATACAAATAACAAACCAACAGAGTGACCTGGATAGTTTTCCTATATTGGATTTACAAAAGAGATTGTTAAAACTTTGAAGAATTTTGTGAGAAGGGACAAAGAAAAAATGAAAAAAAAAATCAAGTTCTAGGACATTATTTGAAGGGACTAAAGATCAAGATCATTAAAAGTAAAAGAAAGGAATATAAAGTTGGTTTATCTGATCAAGGTTAAAATGGATATGTTATTATCTCTGGTAACCCTTAATGGACTTTTGCTGATCAGGACTGAAACAATGAGGCTTTAAGGATTTGTTGATAGATAAGAGATGGGATATGGGAAGAAGAGATCATTCGTTTTATTTTAAGGGAAAGTGATAAATTACTAAAATTGTTTATCGTTGTTGTGATGAAGGGGGAAGATCAAGGTTAAAATGGATATGTTATTATCTCTGGTAACCCTTAATGGACTTTTGCTGATCAGGACTGAAACAATGAGGCTTTAAGGATTTGTTGATAGATAAGAGATGGGATATGGGAAGAAGAGATCATTCGTTTTATTTTAAGGGAAAGTGATAAATTACTAAAATTGTTTATCGTTGTTGTGATGAAGGGGGAAGTTATTTATCATTTCTTTTCTTTTTATTATATTCTTAATTTTTCTTTCTTTTCTATTTTTCTCTTTTTTCTTTTCTGCATTTTCAATTTTTTAATTTGTTTAGTTTGTATTAGTTTTTACGTTTTTAATTGTAATTTTCAATAAAATTACTATTAAAAAAAAGAGATAATCCATTTCCTATTAAATAAAATGTCCACATGACTGAAGACAAGGATGGTTGCATTAGTGATCCATGGCCATGTAAGCATCTTTTTCCACCCAGAGGACACCAGAGGTGTCTTTTTATTATTGTTTTTGGCAATGGGGAGATTAAGGAAATGATACCATCATGACATCATGCAAGTGAGTGGGATTGGTTTTGTTCTGGATGTTTAATGTATGCAAGTGTCTGTGTTTCAGTTTTATTTTGCACTTAGCAAATGGGCAGATTGGAAGAAGGGGGTTCAAAGCTGTCTTGTGACTCATGGGGTACAGGTGGCTCATTTCCACCTTCCTCCAAGGGAACCTCTGCCCTATATCCCTGGCATGAATCTCCTCCCTCTCCTTCAGAGACAGCAGTGTTCTAGCTGGGGAGAGGAACCTGCTGAGTTCTCTCTTCATTGCCTAGTTATGGTTTTTTCCATTGTGAAATACAATTCCTGCAGTTGAATTTTTGTGTCTACCTTCAGTTTAGCCACAGGGGAAAAATCAACAAATATACATGATACACCTCCCACAGCACATGATTTAAAGCCTACTGAGCCATTGCTGTGCACATTAATCTGAAGCCAAGATTTTCAAGTTGTTTCCCTAAATGAGATTTCTTCTTCCCGATTCTGCAGCAAATGAGATTTGTAGCCATTATGATGCTCAGGTCACCTTCACTTCCTCTTCCCCACTTATAGCCAGTGGTTTGGGAATGATCAAATGGAAATATCTCAATGTTTGCCACAAATTAAGCACACACGACACATGTGGCTTCTTTTAAAAAAGTTTTATGTATTTTTTTAATGTAAGTTGTACACCCTAGAAAATACAATTATATTTTTTAAAGGTACATTTTGAAAAAAGTGTTCCGTGACCAATCTGTAACATATCACACTGCTGGATGTTGCAGAAACTGAAGAGAGAAGGGAAATGACAGTGTCAATAATATAAGCACATAGCACCAGCTGTCCTCTTTCCTTGTCAGATGCTGCCATTCTTCAATAAATAATGCCATCGTTTTCCTTAGTAGAATAGGAGTCATTTCTTAGAAATGAACTGAACAATGCACAAGGATGTCAGCAGAGGAGGAAAAAAAAAAATGGTTGGGCTGGTTTCAGTCCACTTCTGTTGTACCACATGGTCTTAAAAATTCATTCCCTCTTTCATGAAACCATTTGTTTGATACTGTTAAAAAAATGGTAAGGATTGTTACATTTATTCATTTATATAAAAGTCTAAGCATCTTCAACTCTAAAAATGCATGAGTCCTTTAAATTATATAATAAAATAATACAGCCCATAAAGTAATAAAAATGTGGACAGCAGTTATGCAAAAGCATCAGCATGCAACTTTCCTGCACCACATTTTAAGGAATACAGTTTTATTGGACGATACATATACACATAATCCTCATATACCGTTGAGAGTAGTATTCCAATCTGCTTTAAATCTAGTTTTTGTATGTAGAGATCGTATAAATGGACCTCTCTCTTTCTAACCTTTGTCCATTATCCTCACATGATGAACGTGTGAGTTTGGATCCTTGGAGGACAGCTTGATGTACCAATCTACCTCTTCACGGAATACTCTCCCCCCAGAGGTGAAGCGGGCCCCTACCCTCCCAATTTTTCAAAGGGTATTGAAGACTTGCTCTGCCAACTGGCATGGGGCAAGGAAAGATACAATAGACCCTGGGGATGGCTGGAGCCTTGATGATGCTCCCTGAGTTTAGTAACACCTAATTAACATCAGCCTCTTGGAAATATCATAAAGGAAGTTTTGTTTTTTAGCATATTTTAATTAATTATATTTATCTATTTTAATTAATGTTTATTCTGTTTTTACTGTAAACTGCCCAGAGTCACCCCACAGTGAGATGGGCGGTGACAAATTTAAAAAATAAATAAACAAACAAACAAACAAATAAATAAATGTATGTATGTTGAATCCTTGAGGAGCAGTGCACAACTTGTTTCTAGCTAGGAGCTACATTTGAACTTATTTTGCCGATTTTTCCCACCCCCAAAAAAGCAGAAAGAAAAATGAGCTGTTTTTTTTTTTTTAGTCCCAGTTTGTGAATGTTAGGGAAGGTTTCAAAAGGAGTGTGATTGGATTACATGTGGCCATAGAGCAGCTTTCCCCAACTTGGATAACCTACAGATGTGTGAACTTCAACTCCCAGAATTCTCAGCAATGGCACATCTGGAGAGCACGCAAGTTGAGGAAGGCTCCCCTTGAGCCCTCTAGGTAGGAGGATGCAAATGAGATCGTTTAATATTTAATACTACATCCCATGAGCAGAATGGGAGATGGATCATGAGGCTCCTACAAGTGTTGAGTTTCAGAACCATCCTTAGTCCATTCTGGCATTATTTCACTCAAGCTTTCCTGACATCCCTCTCCCTTTGCTACCACTGCTTCATGATGACTGTTCCCTTATACGCATTTCATGGCCCAACTGTATGCATATAGGTTTTCTTCCTACAAATGGTTGTGCTGAACACAAAATGCCCACTGAGAGCCAATGCCATCTGAGAAACTCTGATGGACCTGGGTGGGTGGGAATTAACAAGAGTGTTCATACAGTGAGTATTCCATATTGAATAATACCTGAATGATGCTACAGACAACTACATGGGACTCTGAACATTCAAAGGTTCTGCTGCTTAAAATTTCATTGAAATGCTATGTTTTGCCTAGCTACTCACATCCTGTCATTATTATAGCAGGTACCATTTTCTACTTTTCTTATCCTATAAATGAACATCAAAGTCACAGACATAAGCTAACAGCAAAGGAATCTTAATGTGGGAGCATAATATCCAAGAATGTGTCATAGCAATACAAAAATCCTAGACCAGAAATAATCCAGTCTTCCTTAACTGTTTGATGATCCTTAAGTCTTACTTCCCAAAAATGAAGAGATGATTTTTACTTACCCCACTTACAGCCTACTAACACTGGACATGCTGCATGTCTCGTTCGGTAATCACCTTCTCCGCTTCGGAAGAGGTTATACCAGAAAACTGCAGTCCCCTGAAAACAACAAAAGACTTTACTCATTTAAATAAATTCAGTGTTGAGTGCATTTTCATCTAACTTGTATTTTACCTGCTATAACAATTTTCTTAATACGTTGGAATATATCTACAGTATTTCCAGTTTCTACTTCCAGTGAGATTCCAATGGCAATGTATTTGAACGCAGATGGAAAGTTGAAAAAGGAAAATTGTGCCTTAACTCCTGGTAATTGCCTGGACAAGTCCCTGCAGTTTTTTGGTAGCATTTTCAAAAGTAGTTTGCCATTACCTCCTTCCTAGGGCTGAGAGAGAGTGACTGACCCAGTCACCTAGTTGGCTTTGTGCCTAAGAGGGGACTAGAACTCACAGTAAAACGGCACTAATTTGTGCTCTCTAGAAATGAAGAAATACATAACCAATTATATCAAAAATATTATTTCGTGTGAATAGCCCAAAGATCTTGCAGGTTTTCTATTAATTAGAATCAAAGTTGCAGCTAATTTGTAAAAAGATTTTTTAAACCTGCAAAGATATGGGGAACATGCATATTACTGCACATGTATTAACTACATTAACTACAAATAGAAACAACTTGAACCAAATTATTGATCATTTAAACTTCTAAATTATTCAAGCAGCAGCTTCCCTTAGAACAAAAGGCTCTCCATTCCAGGAGTTATGCTGAACACGGTACTATCAACTGCAGAAGAAAAAGCATGTTTTCTTTGGGGAAAAGTTAATAAAGGATCCTGCTGGCCCTTTAAACCAGCATAATATCAATATTCATACAAAGAGGAACTCAGGAAACAACACTACTCTTTATTGTCTGAAGAGAAATGCATGTATAGCAAACAACAATATCTTCTGGATGCAGGTCACATTGAGTTCAGTGGGACGCAAATGCATCCCTTTAAATTTCTACTGAAAAGTATGTCAAACTGGCTGGATTCACTTGTTATGCTAATAAGCTATGGTATGTTATGTAAGACCCATTGCAAATATGGTTTATAAACTTCTAATCTGCTTGAGGACTGGGGGGCAGTGGGACAGAGCTGGCATGTAGCAAAGAGAAGAGGTAGGAGAAGTCCTGTTCTCTTATTGGGAAATAAAGTTGTATGAAGCCCTTCAATCAAACAAATGCCTATCAAGCTCTTTAAATACACATTATAAAACTCTTTCAGGCAAAGACTGATTTAAAATTCTGTTTAATACAGGGAAAGGTTGTCTGAGTAAGACTCAGCAAAAACTGGTGCTGCCCTACTGGAATGTCCTCACCAATGGATAGCAACCAAAAATATCTCACTGCCAGAATCTTGTCATCCTGAATGATTAACTGAACAGAAATGGCGTAGACTGGATCAAATCTAAGGAAATAGAGCTGGTTTTATCACCCTTCTAGTGGGAAAGCATTTGTTATAGACAAGGACGGATATTACCTTTTTGGGCCAAATTGCAGCTCCAAAATCTGGGAAAACTGTTGCACCTCCTGCTTCAACATCACTCATCTGAGAAGGGGAAAAAAGCCACCCATAAATCGCTGTAAGATTCAGCATTAATAATAAGATATTCTGCTTATTTCTAGATCAACTCTCTTCTTACCCAGCAAGGGTTTGCATCCTTTTGCAGGATAAAGGCCATGTTCTAAGAAGTGGGTGAGGCCAGGATAAAACCTAAATTTGATTCAATTTACACCAAAATGTGAACTCCATTAAGTACAGATAATATGACTACTCTTCAAATATTTCATAATAAATTTCCCCCTTCTGTCACATTAGAAATCTACAATACTGCAGCAACCCCTGGAGGGGCTCTGGGAGCTATATTCAGAGTTTTGAAGGAGGGCCCCTGACACCATTAACAGAGAGATAGAGACTGTGGACACAGATTTTTAGGAATAAAAAATCCAACAGGAACATATGCATTAAAAAAAATAGCCAGTCATTTTTTTAAATATAAGAGAGAAATAACTGACTCAGGATTGGTATAAAAACAGTTTGATCACAATTGGGACTACAATAACGGCGCAAACTTATCTCTTCTGAATATTCCTCTATGCGAGAAAAGACCACAGTCCTCTGGCCAATGGATTTGTTTAGCAAATTGAAAAACTGCCTTAGCACTGATGATGTTGCTTAATTCTGTGCATCTCTGAGCAATCTCTTTATGAATTTGAAACACTGCAATGAAACTAACACAGCTTTATTTTGGTGCTATGAAGTAGCCATGGATACCACAGAACACAAGCACTTCAATCATATATAGTGTCTTTAATTAAGAGGAATTGTTACTTTCATGTAATGGATCTGATTCTAAATTGTGTTGCTTTTCATACAAGAGAGTAGCAAAGTCCATGAACTTCCTGCTCTATCTGCATAACGCAGCCAACTCTGTTTCCCAGCAACTCCAGTACTAACCCCAAGTGATACAGGGGGCCACAGTAGAAAGGGAGGAGCAAGAAAATCACATTCTATAACTTAGATTTTGTTCCACTGATGGATCCAAACTACCATGTTTTAATTTAGGGACAAGGCACCTCTAAAGATATGCAATCATTATACGGGACATGGAATTTTGCTAATTTCAGGAAGAAATTCAAACCCTGACATGATAACTGAAAGTGAAATACCTTAATTCTTTCTGGTTCCATTCCAATTTGGAGATTCTACTAAATTCCCTTATCATGGTCATTTTTAAACATAGGTGCCTACATGTACCTTCCAGTTAAAATGACAAAATACGACTACAGTTGATGTTGGCAACAGCAAGCAGAGAGAAAGATATCAGCAATCCTTTCTCTAGATCAACAATCTATAAATTGTTGATGGTTAATGAATGCCCAGTAGGTTTAATGATACATTACATAATTGCTAGATTGCAGACTAGAAGTGATATGCTAATGAACTAGTAATGGTCATAGCAACTGCACTGCAGGCACACCTCTGGAGTAAACTAATGCTTTTTATTAGCCACTTTTCAAGAAGTTTCCTACAAATTCGAGAGCCTGGTTGAAAGAGCTGCAAAATCTAACGCTTTCAGGTTGTGGCAAGTAAAGTGAGAACAGATTCTATGGCTGCACAAATAATAATGATTGAAGGTGTTCCCGAATCAGTTCTCATAAAAGTTCCATTGTTAAAAATGTACTTTAGTCACCCATTTCATTGGCACAATTATGCCAGACTTCATCTCCACAGATACTACGACTCCATGTAATGCTGGATCAACAAACTCTAAAAAATATCATGCAATCAGTTTCACTTAAGATGACAACATGAAAAAAGGCAAGCCTTACTCCACATGTCCAAGACTGCTCATATAGTACTTACATAATTCAAAAAAGTGGCCAAACGATTCCCAGTCCCTAAACGCTTGAAAACATCAGGTTCATCTTTCTACAAAATTAAATAAAAGTAAACTGCAAACTTCAGGTACGTAGACAAGAACACAGAGGTACTTACATAGTTAAGAAATGTTGCTAGCCTATTTCCTTCCGTTTTGAGCGTGCTGTCAAAGGGTCGCTGAAACAAACAACAACTTTAACCCAACTTCCAAATTGGTTGCATGTTTGTAGCTTTGGAAACAGGACGTGGAGATTGCCTATGCATCTAAGTGGAACCAAGGCCCCCCCAGTTGTCCCATTGGACTTTTTTCAGGTACATATAAGCAGGGCTGCAGGCTTAAGTCAAAGTCTCAGAGGCAGTAGCATATTAACTCAACATACTGAACAACACTTCTGCAAAGGTAACACATAGCTTGGTCCACACATTGTGCTAAGCCATAGCTTGTTTACCCATGGCTTTCTGAATAAATCACAACTGAGATTGTATGATATGCTAAGCCAAAGTTACAAACCACCATGGCTGGCTACACACAACATGCTTAGCCAAAAATAAACAAACCACACTTTGGTTTGGCACAGAGATCTCAGTGTATCATTCCATGACCAAACAAGAGTTGCAGTACATCAGAGATGCTGGCAGCTTCTTTTTCTGCTATTGGATTAGTACCTTTGGTAAACTCGTGGCTGAATGGGCCACTCCTTGCACTATAAAAAGGGAAAGGGCACCTTCCAGCAAGGGAAATCAAAGTGCCAGTTCCCCTTTATCATCAGCAGGCAAGAACTAAAGAGTCTGACAGGAACATTCTCTGCTACTAAATCCCAAGTAGCAATAGAGCAACTTTTCTTATCTTTGCATTTGGAGATAATAGATGTAAGAGCAACAAACATTTTTCCACTAAAACTGTGGTTCTTTCAGAGCCTTTACTGATGTTTTGCTGTGATTGATTACAAAAGCAATAATGCTTTCAGCAAAGAAAATGCTGTTTTTCTGGAACTGCAATGAGGAACTGTTACTGGAAAATACTGTTAGCTTTCCTTAATATTCATTTAGACCATGCAAGAGCAAAGCTTTGGACAGGACCAGTTTCATTCATCTTCCTCTCAGAGGCCTGAGATGATTTAGGAATCTTCCTCTCTCAGAGGCCTGAGGTGATTTAGGAAACTATTAAAAAGTGATCCACAAAGTATTCAAGTTTGAGAAAAGAGGGGAAAACATTAAACAAGACTATATAGTCAGTTACAGTATTTAGACTTGGCACATTTAGCTTAAAAGGCCCAGATTTCAATTTAAAAAACAATATTTAAAAACTTCACTGGTTTCACTGGCTTTGAATGAAATGTTTCTGACAGACAAGGCTGTGTTACATGTACTATTAATACACAGATTAAATGCATCATGCAGATTAAATCTGTATACAGATTTAGATCTATTTTCAATTTCCATTTTAGTGATATGATCTCCAGTTCGAACAAAATTGTAAAATATAGAATCTGCAGATTAACTACATTATCTTTTTGCCTATTTTTGGTCTGCTCTATGCATTTACAGACACATCTAAAAAAAAAAAAAGTCTGGATTTTTTGTCCTTTTTCTCAATATAGAGGTAAGGGGTAGATTTTACTCCCCTTCTCCCGCTACTAATGCTGTAAAAACTACTGCTATCTGAGTGGCAGTATGAAATATTTACTTCTGGAAAAGTAAAAACCTCATGCATTACCAAGTTCAATTAAGATAAGGGCAGGGCAAAAAAGAGAGAGAGAGGGAGGGAGGGAGGGAAGGAACAGTTGAACAAAGCTATAGAGTGGCCTATAGCATTAGGAAGGAGATAACAAATGATACATTTGTTTGATACAAATGATACATTTAGCATGATACAAAGATCTATGGTGCTATATAGTGAATAGGAAGAATAAGAATGCATAATAAAGGATATAGGAAAAAAGAGAATCATGTACTACAGAATAAGGCAATGTGGAGAAAAAATGTATAGGGAGCTGAGAGATTGTGTCTAAAACCAAAAAGAAGAGCAACTGAAACATCAATAAATTTGTGACATCATGGCAAATAGATGCCACAGGAATCCCCAAACTTTTTGATTTGGTTATCACACCTGGAACTTTGATGTAATTACGGGTGAGAGTGCTGACCTGGCATGCATAACTGAGACCTGGGTGGGCCTGGGGGTGGGGTTTTCCCCTCTTGGAAATATGCCCACCTGGGTTTCAGGTTTGGCACCAGCTGTGACCCCAGGGAAGTGGGGGTGGGGCGGCTATCATCATCTGCGAGTCATTGAGGGCTCTTAGAGGCTTTGCCCTGCAGACAACTGGATGTGAGACCCTCTGGCTTAAGCTCGGCCTTCGGGAACAGTTGGGATTATTGCTGGTGTACTGCCCTCCCTCATCCCTGCTTGAGCTGCTGGATTCCATTGCCAGATTAGTGGTGGAGTCCCTGAGGCTGATGGTCCTTGAGGACTTTAACTTGCCACCTGGTTGAGTTTGGGGCTGCTCAGGAGTTCATGGCCTCCATGGCAACCATGGACCTGTCCCAAATGATAGAAGGCCCGACACATTCTGGATGTCACACACTACATCTGGTTTTTGTCTCGGGGCAGTTGTAACGTGATCTGGCATTGGAGGACATCACCATCAGTCCATTGCCATGGACAGATCACTCTTTGGTTGCCCCCCAACTCATTGGGACCATCCACCTCCGCAGGGAGACAGGGCCTATTTGGCCGGCCCGCCCCAGGCAACTGATGGACCCTGTTGGGTTCCAGAGGGAGCTTGGAGTTTTTCCTGAGGACCTGTCAAGCAGTTCATGTGAGGGGTGCCTCAGGGCTTGATGCTCTCCCCTCTCCTGTTCAACATCTACATGAAACTACTGGGTGAGGTCATCCGCCAGTTTGGGGCGCAGTATCACCAGTATGCTGATGATACCCAGCTCTACATCTCAACCACAAGCAGCACAGGTGAAGCTGTCAACGTCTTGACCCAGTGTCTGGAGGCTGTTCGGGTCTGGATGGGGTAGAACAGTCTTTGGCTCAATCCTAACAAGACCAAGTGGCTGTGGCTGTTTGGATCCCCTAAGTTGGAGACATCACCATCCTTAGTTTTGGATGGGGCTGCACTTCCACAGTCAAGACTAGTGTGCAACTTTGGGGTCCTTGTACACCAGTTGCACCATTTCCTTGATCAGGTGGTCCTTCAGACAATCACTCATGCCCTGGTCACCTCACACTAGGATTATTGCAATCACTCTACATGGGGCTGCTCTTCAAGACCACCCAGAAGGTACAGCTGGTTCAAAATGCAGCAGCGCCAGCAGTAATGAGCACTTCTCAGTGTGCCCATGTGTCACCACTGCTACACGAGCTGCATAGGCTGCCAGTTGGTTCCGAGTGCAATTCAAGGTGCTGGTTATTATCTATAAAGGCCTGTATGGCATAGGGCCTAGACACCTGAGAAACCACTTATCTCCAATCGTTTCTGCCTGCCCAGTGTGTTCCAACAGAGTGCTTATGCTCCAGGTCCCCTCCATTAAATATTGCCATCTTTTAGGATCCAGGAAGCATGCCTTATCTGTTGCAGCCCCGACCCTTTGGAGCAGCCTCCCCCCAGAGATAAGGATGGCACCCTCTCTCCTGGGGTTCTGGAAAGCCTTGAAAACCTGCCTCTGGTCCCAGGCCTGGGGTTGATGTTCATCATTGTTTAATGGCCCCTGTTTTGTTTTGTGGATTTTGTTAGCAGAGTATTTTAATCTGGGTTGCCCGTTGATTTAATGTTTCTTGCTGTTTTTATGGGCTTTTTTTTTAGTTCTGTACACTGCCCAGAGTCCACTGGAGTTGGGTGGCTAATACACTTCAATCAGTCAATCAATCAACAGCTATACAACTGTTTCATAAACTTTAATCACTGTAAAGTAACAGCAAATGGATTCAAGTTATAACCTGTGCTATATACAGAGCCTGGAGGACCAATCCAAATCCGTAAGAAATCCAGCTGTTAACTTTCCACAACTTTGGCTGCTGACAACTACATTCCAAGCATTATATATCATCCAAAAATAAATATCTTGTTGGTTGTTTTGTTGCCTCTCTTACACAAATCAGCATCAGTGAAGAAGCTTTAAGTGTGCACTGATTTATAATGACAGAGATTTGACCTGACAGAGATGCAATCAGGTTGATACTTGCCGTTGCCCCCACCTTTGGAATATTCTCCCCCCAGAGGTGTGGCAGGCCCCTACCCTCCCGGTTTTCTGGAAAGGACTTAAGACCTGGCTCTGCCAGCTTGCATGTAGTGATAAGAGTTTTAATCAATCCTGGGGGTGGCTGATGCCCTGATGTCACTCCCTGAACTATTCACCAATTCCATCATTCTTGGAATTTATTTATTACATATTTAAGACTGTTTTCATATTGTATTTTAATTGGTTTTATCTCCTCTGTAAACTGCCCAAAGTCACTTTTTAAC